TTTGTGAACAATATTAGAGAGAGAAATAGGTCTTTTGTGTACATAGAGAAAGTCTTAGATCTTTGAGTTCAGCTCATGATGAATGGGGGCAAAAACAAAAGTGTTGCGTTTATAATTTTGTTCAGTGTATATTGAACCAGATCTTAATCTACAACTAGCACTGCTGCTAATGGGCCCAGAGCACCTGATGTGCATATAATGAGACTGTGAGGCTATTCACAACCAGTACCAACCTGTAATATAAATAGCATGCAAGACAGAAGTACAGAAATACAGGCACAATATTTACCTAACTGATAATTTGAATGCACATAATAAGGACTTATTCACAAAGATCAGACTGGTCCATAGAGTTAAGCCTCAAGTCTCATATTTTATTCTTAAAGGTCTAGAATCCTTTAGATTCATTGGCATCTAGAGGTGAAATTGCAGATTGCAACCAACTGAATACAGATGGCCTCACTCTCCCCTTCTAGGCGTTTAGGAGAAGTGACAGTGTCTGTTAAACTCATGAAATACTCAAAAGGCCCTATCTAGAGCCAGTGTTTGTTTGTCTGTTCTGGGCTACTGTAAACAAATGGCGGACTCTGTAGAAGAGGACCCGCTCACTCAGTAAATAAAAAAGGCTCATTCTAAAGTAACAAAAGCATAATTCTTATTTTCAGGTGATTATACACTAATGAAAACATAACTATAAATATTAGATTATATAAATCTTACACACTGGACCTTTAAGAGATCACTATGCTTCAAAACAGATGAACATTTTTGCCTTTATATGTGGTGAAATAACATACTGCACAAACTCATCTCAAGCCTACCCTGGCCTTCGATGACTGCATGACTATAAAGACTAACAAATTCAAAGCATCAAAAGTCAGTCATCCTACCCCTGGGCTGTCTCAAAAGCCTACAGTCACACGAGGGACCAAGTACTGCTGCCTGACATATTGACAAATTCTCCTCTGATCACCCCAGATTTCCTCTGGTTAGCTCACACGCTGACCTGGTCTTCAGAAGCGCAGCCTGTACACACTACTGCTAACCTGTGAGAATGTGGCCTCTTTAGCAGATGTTTTCCTCTTCCTGTCTTGTGTAAGGATCACCACATAAAGTGTACAGAACACACGGATGGTTTTGTTGCCTGTCAGCCATGGATCTGTTACATATTTCTTCACAATCATGGTACTTGAGAACTGCAGATTTCTGGACCTGGTGTAAAATATTTCCTGTTTAGATGATCAGAATGAAGGAGCTCTGCAGAGGACCCATGGGCCATGAGGAACAGAAAACAACTGCTGTTACATCCTCTACACATGGTTGAATCCTTGCAGGTCATACAAGTTTGATGGTGAGGAGTTAAAACTTTGTAAATTTTAAGAGAAACTCAAAAGAAACAAGACAGAGGCACACACATTAACCTGCATGCGTAAGGCCTAAGGTCAAAATTGGCAATAACAAAATTTGAGTATGAATGCACGTTTACTTATTTTCAATGTTCATATGAGCCACAACCCTGCAGGCTGACAGCTGTCTAATAATTAATAAAGATATTTCACATTGACAGGTTTAGAATGTTTAAGATTTGCAACCATGTGTATAATTAAGCCCAAAGAGACCACAGCATTTTATTCTATATTGCTGTTGGCCAGTGGAGAAGTACACAGAATGTATTATACATACTGGGTTTTGTTAGAGGGTTTGCTGTTCCCCAGAGAGCTTCTTTATTTTTCTCAGAAAATGAAATGCTCTCCATCATTTATGATTTACTGAATTAAATATACAATGCAAGGTCAAAGTTAAACTGATGGCTGCAAAATATAAACCAGGTAGAAACCTTTTTTTCAAAGCAAGGAATACCAGCTGAACAGCGACAGTGAATTTTAGAATATGTTGAATATAAAGCAGTGTGGTCTGTGTTCACTCACAGGAAGAGCTACTGTCCATCATTTATTATCGACTAAATTGAACATGCATATTCAGTTGCAAAGTTAAGTCAAATTAGGTCTCAGAAAATACAAAGAACATTTTCAGTGTTGGTATCCAACAACGTACTCAATTCAAATAGGAACCTTTATCCCATTCTCCTCTCTCTTCCCCAAACTGTACTATCTTGAAAACACACAGTGACAATAGGTCACGTTTCTCATCGGACGAGGAATGTGTGAAAAAATCGCATAAAACTTTTCTTATTACGCAACATTTAGTCAACAAAAAAATTATATTGTTGCACATCA